CTATTTGTCATCTGATCCGACCTGAAAACATAATTTTTCTATCTTTCTCGAAAAATCTTTACGATGAATGTCTGATTCTTAAGTTCATGTCACACTTCGATATAAATCAATATACTCGGCTTCAATCATTAACACTTCATGTTATTAATAACGTAGGAGTTTCAAAGTTTTTCAAACAAATGACTATCGACACTCTTACTTCAATGTCAATCATTTCGTATAATCCGATTAACACAGAAGCATTACTCCTAATATCGTCAGGGATCAATCGATGTCAGCTTCAAAAGCTAAGTTGGAACAATTTTCATGAAGCAATTGAATACATGACGTGGTCAGCCTTTAACAAATTGGAACACTTGCAGATTGGTAACTGTACTTATGATGAATATGTTACAATCCTATATCACTTACCACATTTACAAACGCTTCGAATAAGTGACTGTACTATCCATAAAAATGTTGATAAACCTGCATTAGATTCTGATTGTACATTCCATTCATTATTGAAATCTCTCGCAATTACTGATGCATTGTTGGCTCCAGCAGAACTCGAATTTCTTGTTGAACTAACTCCTGGACTTGAATATCTAATGGTGAAGTCCAAAAAGTTAAGAGAATTTGATTGTATGTTTGACGCCTCATTTTGGAATAAATTAATTAGCACCAAACTAAGTTTATTGAGGAAATTCGAATTCTTCTTTCGTACCAGTGGCTACAACGATCAAATTACTACCCCTCGCTCACTCATTCTTCCGTTTCAAAGGCCATTCTGGATTAATGACATGCGCTGTTTTGTCACTTGTGTCTTTGACATATATTCATGTGAGATCTGGCTCTATACAATACCCAGCATCATCCTTGATATAAAACGTTCTGAGAGATGTGAACTATCGTCGATCAATGGTACTTACCGTTTGACTTCTGGACCAATAAATAACACAACTGATACAACAATAGATCAGGTTTGTATGTGAATATTTCTTTGAAACATAGATACAAGGTACAACTTAGCGTTGAATAATATAAATCGTACGAAAAGAGTTTATTAAACTCACAGAATACCGTAATGGACTGATGAAGATTAATGAGTGCGCAAACAGTTCATAAATATACAGTCAATGGCTTGATTCGCATAAATCCATTTCGTAAAGCTTGTTATTCCTGCATTTAGCGTTTTTATAGTGTAGTCTCTGCCTTTTGTAACGAAAATTAAATAATAATCCATTTAATACAATTTTCTTTTTTGATTTGAACTAAGCACGATGGAACGTTTAAAATCTGTTTGCTTGTCATTGTGCAATATATACCTTAAATAATGACACAATATTTGTTCCATATTCTGAAGCGAAGAATTTTGGGCGATATAATAGTAAAAGAGATTTCTCAAACTTACTCTATAGAAGGAAATCTATTTAACTTTTATGAACTACTGTGTTTCTGTTTACGTGAAAAAAATGAGAACACTAATAGACTATTCTATTCGGAAAATATCTATTTCTTCCTGCAAATCGAAACATAACATACAGAGGATTCCGTGTGACTCTAGGCTTATTATGTTTTTGATTTGATCGTGAAATGAATGCTTGAACTCAATATCCACAACGGATGTACAGTGGACACAACCATAGATGAAAGAAGTACTTTGCAAGAATTATCGGTAAAGTTCGATAAATAAAGAAATAAAGAGCAAGATTGACGACTTGCTAAGAACAGAGCTTATTGAAAAGTCATACATTCAAGTCACTAATGAAATTCAGTTGTCATCAATGAAGATTCAACTAAATCAATCCGTTTCAATTCAACAGAATATTTAAAAAGGTTCCCTTAAAGATACAAACTTGTCATAGCCATCCCAAAAAAACGTCTTCTGAAAAGTAGAACAATATATTCGAAATAAGATCTAAGAATTTCTCTGCACTAATATTTTACATTATTTAACAATAGCTGAAGTTGAGTGACAAACTATTCTAGCATTCTACTGTCATGTTGAAGATATGGAACTCAGTAGATTCTATCATGTAGCACAATTTTCTGCACAAAATATTTCTATCCAAAACTTCATTGTTCTAATAACTTACTATTCTCAAAATTTTCACCAAGAACTGCTAATGAAAGTACTTTACTCTTTTGATATAAAGAAAATTGGTTTATAAATGTTTATGTTTGCAATTAATATAAAAAATTAGCTCTCACATTTTACATATCGATCAAAAACAAGAACAAACGGAAAAATGAACTTGTATATAGCAAGAATATGAGTAGTAGAAAGCACTTTGCTCGTATCAGAGAAATTTTTCAGGGAAACTGGCAATTCTATAGTGCTCAGCGCGAAAAGAAATGAAAGCTTCTATTCAGTGAACTTGTGTGCAGTAGTATGTCGTTAGTATTTCTTCAAGTATTGATATTTTCCATACGATGCTTTACTTCTCTTTTCGAAGCAGTTTGAAATGTTTTATTATTAGGATAGCATTTTTTATTAGTCATGACCTGCCTATTTCATCTGACATTCCGTTTGCTTCAATAATTAGTTTCACCAATTGAAAAGAAAATTCTTCCCTCTCACGTCTCTAAATTTGTTATCAACGGATCTTTTCAAAATGTATTTATTATCTAAATATTAATTCAAAAGTTTTCTTGAACACATTCTACCAAAATAAACAAAACAAAATGGTAAGTATGTGTGTAATAACTAATAAACACAAGTTGAAACAAAACATTCAGAAAAAGTTATCAGAGAAGAGATGCTCACTGCTCACTGTTTCACGCTTTTCTATGATTGTTTGCTTTTCTCATAAATCAGAATACTATTCAGGAAATATTAAAGTTAAGTTCCATAAATTATGTTTGTCGAAAGTATCAGAGACGTTAACTGCCAACTCCGTTTTGCATGAACCGTCTTTGATTGTCAGATAATTATGGGACAGTTTTTATGTCGATATTAGTCGGATTTTCAACATATAACTATTAAGGGCTTTGAAATTTTACGAAAACGTTCACAGTACCAAGACTCTTCTTTACTATGTTGTTCGAGAGTACAAATATTCACAAGGCTAGCCCATATATTCCAAAACGATACCTGTCTGCCGAACAAATCTATCGATAAATATCTCTAATCTTGATCTTCAATTCAATAAGACATGCCAAGATACAACTTCATTCTCTGTTTGCCTGTTTCGCCTACATATTTTCTTCTGCAAACAGACAATCACAACATTAAATTCTTTCCACAACAAATTGGGAGACGATGGGTTACGATACCTCTCGGATGCCTTGCGAAATAATACGGTAACTCTCATTATTCCTTCATCTCGTTCATATGCATCCTTACTTTTATACAGACACTGACTACATTGCCTCTTATATCGAATGATATCGGAGTGCAAGGAGCGCAATATCTAGCTGATGCCTTGTCTGAGAATGCGGTGCCCATCAGTACCTCTACATATCTTTCATGTCTATCTTATCCTCAACATGCAGACACTCACTACACTGATCCTAAATTTCAATGCAATCACCGATGTTGGGGCGAAATATCTCGCTCTAGCCTTAATGAAAAATAAGGTTATCCTCACTCTCTTGTCATTTCTCTCATGCGTCTCTCATCTCCTCTACACACAGACACTCATCAAACTAGAAATCAAAGGAAATCGAATTGAAACGTGCGGGGTACAACATATTGCTGATGCCTTAGTTAAGAACACAGTATTTATCATTCTTTCTTCATCTTTCTCATATTCATTTTTTCTTCTATAAACAGACACTTACCTCTTTGAATCTTGCGTTAAACAGAATAGAAGACAATGGGGCACAATATATCGCTGTTGCGTTAAGAAACAATACAGTGATCTTCATTTTCTCTTCATCTATCGCATATGGACTCAGTTTTCTAAACACAGACACTCATGGAACTGGACATTAGTAAGAACGATATCAGAGACAATGGGGCGCTCAATCTCGCTGATGCCTTACAAAACAATTCCGTAAAACTCAATCTTCTCAACACTCCCTTACCTATCCATATTTTTCTGTACAAACAGACACTCACAATACTGCGTCTTGGTGGCTGTAAAATTGGAGATGATGGGGCACAAAATCTGGCTGATGCCTTACAAAATAACATAGTGATCTCAACTGCTTTTTAGTTTTGTTTTCTGATATCCATCATATATACTCTACATACAGACACTCAGAATACTCGATCTTGTTTTGAATAATATCACTAATAAAGGCGTAAAACATTTCGATAAGGCATTACGAAACAATAAGGTAATTCTTCTCTTTGCTTCTTCATCTATTACATATTCATCTTTCATACATGCAGACACTAATCAAACTAGATATACAGAGAAATAAAATCAGTTGGCTTCGAAGACATATCCCATGGAAAGATAGCCGAATCCATTGTTAAATGCATTGTTACTTCGGAATTTTGCGATATTTTATGTCCGTTTTTACTTTTTTTTCATCATTTATTCTACGTAAATAAATTTTCCCTTATACTTTTAATTTCACATATTGTAGAAAAAACATTGAGTACATGAATGTATTCTATGAATGTAAAGGACTGACTTAAAAAGGCGGTAAGACAGGAGGTTGCTGAAAGGAACTTCACCTCCTCCTCCCTTATGAAGAAATTCTCTGACAAAGTACGAATACATTAGTTTTACCTGACGAAAATTTTTATTTGACATTGTTCGCCCCTATCCATGAAGAATCCCTGACTATATGCTTACGAATTATCTGCGAGCGCAACAAATCCAAAGCCTTAGTATTCACGATTATTTACTTTGGATTTGAGATTAGATTGGAAATCGGATTCAGGAGCTTAGATTCGGATTTGCTCTTGAATAACCGAAATTCTAAATGTTTGGTAAGTTAGAATGATAGAAAAAACGATCTACTCAACTGGGGATGTGGCAAGATCAGAAGAGGATTTTGGGATTTAAAAGCAAATACAAATCCCAAGGTTTTAGTCTCGAATTCTAAATTGTATTCTGATCATGTGGCATCCATGGTTAAATAGATCGTTAATTCTGATACTTTATCACATCAAACATTTGGGGTGTAGGTGAGTGGGTGGATGTACGTGCTATCGTTCTTCAGGTACACTCACATCCTTACTTGGCGACAATTGAGTATCATATACGGTATGGAAAGAGAAGAAAAATTCAATTATGCTAGATTTTTTGAAGTACTTCTGAATTAGAAATTAATATTTCTGTTGAACAAAACAGTGATAACAATTCAAAATTAAAGTTGATTGATTATTGCATTATTAGTTGATACGTTGACGGCAACAGGTTTTTTGAGGGTGTGGGTGTGCGGGTTAGGGCTGAGTAAAGGACTTCAGTTCATTTACACTCACATCCACCCACACCCTGTTTTTATTTTGTTTGAATCTCTTTCCAAATGAAATTTTTGTGCAAAACGATTTGAAACTCTTCTTCTATGTCAGTTTGCATCTTAATTTTAAAGTAAGAGATATATTCTATCATTAGAAGTCATTTTCTCTTCATTCGACATATATTTACATTTCCGGTTCTCAAATAATTCATAATGCATATTTTTTACTAAACACTAGATTAAATTTTAGTCTTAATATTTAGACTGTTTCAAAGAATCGTGAAAATTTGATTTGAATTTGTTCCGAACTTCTGGTCAAATTACGACTACAATGATCTTGGTCTTTTATTAGATCATAAGAGTGCTCTCTCAGTTTCTATCGGTTTAATTATATATTTCTATGTCTTCTTTCCAATATGTTATGCTGATATACAAGACGTAAGAATTCATGATTTATTAGTCTCAACTACCCAAGATGAAGATTACGGTTGCATAAGAAGGTCTTATACGACGCCATGAGTAACCATATAAGATTATATACGATCAGATTTCTATATAATACTTGACTCCGGAATCACGATTGTGTTCTGTCGTGTATTGTGTAACAAGATACGACGTATATCCAACCGTCGTACGTGACTTTATCTTTAGCAATGACGTCCACCCTACAGAGTTGCAGGATAAAAATATCTCATATTGTACGTCTGTTTGCTTTGCCGATAATATATCAGCTTTAGGTTATCGATCGGAAAACAAATATCAGTATGTCATGGTAGAATAGCGTTGAATCTCGGAAGGAAGAATCTAGTAACGTAAAGCGAAGTGAAAATAATAGAACCAACAAAGTCATGACACACGTATTATCCTAACAAGATCACTGAACGATGATTATTTTTGGGCAAAACTTCTCCTATACGAATATTTGAACGAATAGAAGAAAAATAGTTATTGCAATGAATAGGAAATATAGCTATATCATTATTTGGCATTTCAACTATTTCATATAAGAGGTAAAGAGTGGCAAGACATATGAGTTTCGTTGGTTAACTCAACTAGACATAAAGTCAATAGGAGATGACTTAGTTCAACATAAAAAAATGCATGTAGACATACGACATCTTAGGATACTGATGATTTACTATATTGTATTCACTTTCATAACTAAGTAAATTATCTTTACAGAAACAAACAGAGTGGTCAAATTAATTTTATTTCATTTGTTCATAAAGTCTTCAGTATTGTTTGTTTCACTCTATTCTTATTGTACAATGTCAATTTCAAAGTCTTCAAAAAACAAGGTGACGGTGAATAAAAGATTCACACCTGAGCAAGAACTCTGTTCAATTTTTTATGTGAATGTGGACTTATTCAAATAAAGTTTTTTTTGTGTGCCTTTAATTTGTCTGTTATGGCATACTCAAGGGACAAAAAGTTCGTCTGAGGCTACACCGTGTTGTTCATAGGAAGTTTTAAAAGAAATTACGTTAATGCTTTATAATAAGAAACAAATAAATCACAAACAAGTAACACTATTTTACGATGGATCATTTCTGAAGTCTTCCAAGTAGACTGTGATTAAAGGAGAGTGAGAAATAATCTTTTTAGGGTAGAGTAAAATTTAGAAATTGAATTTTACTCAGAAAAGATACATTGTCATATATAGCAACCGTTTTTGATTAAGTACGGTCGTTCACAGTCGCAGTTTTTCAAACTTAGCAAGGTTTTGAAAAATGAATAATTATATAACAATAATCAAGAAAATTAAAATGTGAGATAGAATTTCAGACTTATACAAGCGAATTACGATTGATTCTATATATATATATCTTGCCAATATTAATATCTTATTTCCATCCATCTCATTCTAATATATTTCAAGATAACTTTCTTTTCTCTTGCATTATTTCTTATTTGATAAAATTTAGTGTACGACATGCTCAATTACAAGTTAATGATGAAACACATTTTGATTTAAAATCAAATCCGTTTTTTTCTCAACCATCTGATAGTATAACAAAAGAATTTGTACGATTACAACAAGAACAAATTCAACAACAAAAAGTTCTTATTACGTCTCCAACACATACAATCGATTCATCACAAACAAATAATAATCAAAAATCATTAATATCAAATACACAATCATTAACTAATATTGATGGAAAATCAACTAGCCCAAAGTTAATAAAAAGAACAAAAAAATTATTCGATTCAATTGATGACGATGAAAGTGGAACGCCAGAAACAAGACTTGTTGAAACAAATTCAAATATTCGTAATAATTTATATCAAACAACATGATAATTTACTATGTAGAACTTGTTGAACAAGACCTGATTTTGTATGATGAATAACAAGATCAGGTCCTAGAAAATATTTCATCAATAAAATATATATACATATATAAGAAAATATCGCGATAAATGTTTTTTAAACCGAAATCGGTAACAATACAAGCAATTTCTAAGATAAAATTTTTGGTTAAATCTAGTTCATCCATTTCTAAATCGATCCATACTAATACATCATCATCCATGGACATTTCAAAGAAATCTATTTTTGTCTTTTAAAATTATTTGATCAATTAAACTAAAAAAGTCGAATTATGTCAATTTTACGAATCTACTAATAGAATTGAGACAATAAGCCTCTCTGAAGTTGTGTTTTCGAAGTGATGAAAAAAAATTTATTACATAAAAGATGTCTTTCGAAACAAACGAATTACAAAATACTCCGTACTATTCACTTCTGTCTATGATTAATTTTTTTAGTACATGCCATAACCAATAAAACATTTACACTTTATGAATCAGCGAATACTGGCGTCTAGTGACATCTGATGAGGTGATCAGCGCCTTTTTTCATTGTTCAGAACGAGCAAAGATCTATGGAAGCACAAAGACTTATTGTTTTCAAGTGCTTAACTTTAAATAGACGCCCAACTGGCCTATTTTACTTATTATTAACTTATTCTATTTTTACACGGTTTATATTTCTTTAAGGACTATTCCAATGGGCTTCTTAAAAGTAGGTTTCTGTAAATAGAGAGTAGAATACTGACAGATTGTGACAGAAATGTCGGTAAGGTGAGACAAATAATTCTAAATCTTATTCAGTTCTAGATTGATTCATTAATTGTTTTCATTGTTGACGTTAAAATGAGTATGGATAATACGAACACGAACAATCAGGAAGTGTTGAACGACCAGGAAACAAGTTTTCTAAATTATCTTTCACAAACTAATATTATTTTTTTTAAAGAACCTTGATCCTAATCTTGTTCAACAACAACAGCAGCAACGTGCACTTAATCGGTGGAATAATATCCACTGGGGCTATTGGAGTTTGTTGTTTTTTCAAAATAGTTATTGGAATGCTTATGTTGATCACCAACAACAGGTTTTCAACAACCAACAACAACAGCGACAACAGGAATATGATGATGAAATCATTCGACTTATGATGGACAACATGTTAGACAAAATTGCTCAATAAATTTTGGTCGTTCAAATATTTTTTGACTCAAAAACTTTCTTACTCTTGGCGACATCAATTGTGTTGTATAAGCCCCTAACATGTTTCTATTTTTGATATATGACTTTTTGTTCTACAAGAACTCAATGTTTTCTTCTTTAAAATTTTCTTGATCGTGCTTTTTTGTTTTTGTAAACGTAGTTAAAATTGCTTTGTTGTTACTCATGTCTTTTTCTTCTACAATAATTCACAAATTTCTTCATCTTACTGTTCTATTTTGTTTGTAAAAGTAGTTGAATTTTTTTGTTAGCGCTAAACTATATGTTTGTTTGTTGTAAAAGAACTCAAAATTATTTTGTTCTTCGCAAAATATCTTTTGTTAAAGTAGTTAGAATTAGTTTGTTGCTGATGTCTTTTTGTTTTACGAGAATTCACAATTTTCTTCTACTGTTCGATTTTTTTTGTTAAAGTAGTTAACTGGGGACCGCTGTCTTCAGGCTGAAGACAAACAGAACGAAAGAATTTTTTTTTTCGTTCTGTCGTATCGATAAACAGCTGCGAAACGAAATGTTTATTTGTACGGCTGCAGCAGTGAACATTTTATATACGATAAAATATACATATATACAGCTGATTCAAGACGATAGAAGGCGAGGCGAGAGAGAGTGATTTTTCGATTTTTCTATAAGCTCGTAAAGAACGCAAGAATTGTCGGTATTCAGGAGGTTAAAATTTTCTGTTTGCGTACTAGAAATCATAATTCTTTTCTTGCTCAAAACATTGTTGTTGCTCAAATATTTTTTTTTCTGTAGATTGATTATTGAAAATAAATAGAATATCAATAAGACTAATATGCTCAGTTCTTTTTTACTGCATTGTTATAAATTTTATTTAAGTAAATGGATAAAGTGAAGTAACAAAAAAGAATTTACCAGTGCGGCTCCATGAACGATCAAAGTAGGGAACATACAAACTGTGACTGTTATGAATTAATGATATATTGTCAGAGATTTTAAAATAATTTATTTAAAGATTCTACATAGATGAATAAGTGAAAATTAGAACAATTTTGATAGTTAATACACACACACTCTGGAACTTGATGATTTCGAAAATGTTTGCATTGAGAATTCCTGTACTATCCATTTATTAGATTCATTTAATATCTTAATACTGGCAAACCTTATTTATTTTGTCAAATATATCTTCAACACAACCTTTTCTTCTCCAAATGATAATATATATAGGGTTGGCCAGTCTGGTTGGATGTCTCAATGCTATTTTTAATCAATCAGTCTCTATAGTATATCAGAAAAATCTGATTTTTTTGCTAGTTATAGTACTCATATAATGCTGATGATCTGCCAAAAAGAAAGAGTTTGTTTCTTGTTTAAAGTGAAAATAATCAAGTATCTCCAAAAGTCTTTTGATATTTACTAACAGGTGGTTCCAAAGACACTTAATTATTGTGGCTTCAAACAAGAGATAAACCTCCTATCCTTGACAGATCATCAGCATTATGCAAGTATTATTACTATTTAAAAAAATTAGATTTTTCTGATATATATAGAAACTGAACGATAGAAAAAAGCATTAGGACATCCGGTCAGAGTGGCCAACCCCATATATATATATGTTATGGCCGAAGTTGGAATTCAGTCCAATTCAGAATTCGTCTAAAATTGTTGGTCGAATTCTGAATTGGGCTAAACTTTGCCTGGACAAAATCAGAATTCGACCAACAATTTTGGATGAATTCTGAATTGCGCTGAATTCCAAGTTCGGTCACAACATATATATTATACATGCCATAGGCAGGCCCCTAGTCATAGGAAGCGTCAAATATAATCTTACGGTGCATTTTGTCGATCCAACTATCATGTTCACCTGTTTGACACATTGATTTAATTGTTCAGTAGGTTTCCGAGCGCACTATCGTCTCTCATGACAAACTCTGACATATGTTGTTGAATTTTGCCTAAATTTAGAATTGAATTATCTTATATTGGTTTATGTTTATCTTACTCTAACTCTACTAGGTCAATAATACCATCGCCCTACTAACTGCTTTCTACAATCAGATCATTTTATTGCATTCAACATTAAATCCCAAAATTTTTAGACTAACGCCCATGTCAAAAAAGACGGGTGAATATTTTTTGAATAACTTTTGATAAAAACAAGATAGAAAGGAGCGGCTTTCATCTTTTGAAATTGAAAATGTAGACACATCGAATCGTGTATCGCAAGCTTTTGAAGGTTTCAATCAATCTTTTTGAAAACCAACTTATCGTGTGGAGTGATTATAGTCAATTTTCAATTGTAAGGTACGCATGCGAACCGCGAACGGAAGATCTACGAAAGCCTCACATATTTAGATTTAATCGTTGAAGAGCTATCGATATTCTGATACACATGTTCGGTCAATTTTTCAAGGAATTTTTGTGAAAAAAAAATTTTACTTTTTTCTTATGTTTAAAGAAGGATTTTTAGAAAATTGATTGAAAAAACTTTAGGTGTGAGCATTCCCGAATAAGATAATTACAACGTTCCATGCTCACATCCGCAGATAATAAAATAAGTGGAAAACTGTTCACTTCAAAAAAACAAAAGAATAATATTCGAATTTTTTATAATGAATTCGACAGCTGTTCCTTGCATTGATATCTATACAAACAGCATGTCATAGCTATATTTTTAATTTCATTATGGTTAAATGTATAACGAATAAATTTGTCACTTAAAAGGTTTTCAGACAGTTTGAAACTTTGAAAAAATATTTTATTGATACGATTGTCTTTTCTTTTCAGATAAACAGAGTAGATTGTTGCATCGAAAGAAACTCAACACGCTTCAAAAAGAAAAACTTACAAGTAATTGTATGGTCTTTTTTTCTTAAGAAAGATGTAATTTGACAAATCCTTATTATAAGTTATTGTAGAGCACGAGTTAAAATTTTTTTTTTATATATGTCGAAGTCAAAAATGTATTAAAGAAAAACAAGAGAGTTTAATCATATTCAACAGGTTTTGTTTACTAATAACTAGACATATGTGATTGCAAATGAAAGCATTAGTTGAATCAATTTTTCAATCATTCAATCAATTTACATATATATAAATATTGGTAGAAAACTAATTTTTTTTTTTCATATTATAATTTTACTGATCGTTCGTCTAAAGAATGGCAGTAAGTGAATTGATCAATTTATTATGATTTAAATGCCGCAAAAGATTCTTCGTTTCGTTTTTTTTTATTCGTTAATTGTTTTTAAATGTACGAGTCTAAAATTCAGTAGGCGATCAAAACAATGTCAGTAGTTTATTTAATACTTAAGTCAATATTTTTGTTCGTTTACTAACAGCAGTGCAAATATTAAAAAAAAAACTTCATTATGCATCACCTCCGTCCAACTTCGTTTTTTTTTGTCACAAATACACGATTGAAAAGATTCGTGTACAAACAAAATTCATTTTCTGTACTGTAAATATACGTAAACGGTTTTCTTTATCAAATATTCATACAAATAAAAGATGAATGTATCAGGTTCGGCTTCCTCTCGTCGACAAATGTTCCCTCAAAATTCAGTTAGTCCATTGATGGATGATTCTACTTTCCTAAATAGTTCACTTTTTCGTGAACCATCGACATTATCAGCCAATGATATTGGATTTCAAAAAGTTTTAGAACGAGATGGTGAAGTACCTGAAGAAACTTTATATCAGGTTGAAATTGAAAATGAAAGCTTATTACGCAAATCACATCGATCAGAACTAGCTAGTAAAAATGCATTGTTAACACGACGATGGCAAACAGCATTAGTTTCA